TTTTTTTTTTTTTTTTTTGAAAAGAGTCTGTTATCGTGTGTTATCTGCTTTGAAATTTTACCAGAAGTGTTGGTTTTCATTCTCGAATCTGTAAAACACTTAAAGCTGAAAATCATCATCGATAAATGTGAGTAAACTATTTATTTATTGAAAGGATTAATTTTAAACTGTAAAAGATTAAATACGCTAAAGAAACGAAAATCAGGTAAGTTTTATTGCAAGTAACAATAATAAAGGGGATAATTAGTGAAAGTCAATAGGAGATAATATTGCAAGTAACAATAATAAAGGGGGTAAAGGATACAATGAGACTAATTTTACTTAGTATTAATCCGATGAGATTAATAAGAATTAACGACCAAAGGCTTAGAATGAGACCTTATTCATGGATAAAATCTCCATGCGGGTCCTTGGCACTTCAAAGTTCACAGGGTCTCAAGGACTCCGAGTAGTGCTTGTGTCAGGGAGGGGTATTTATCCACGAACCAAATTTACACCTAAATACGCTTAATCATTCATTTATAATCTTCCTCAAAGGTTTAGGCACAAGTGAAGTGTCAACTTAGTAGTTCCATATTGCCAGAACACAAGCAGTAGATATAAAAGATCATGATAAAACTTTCCAAGGTTCAGGCCCACAAAGATTCAGTAACTTCAAGCAATCAGGACGCTACAATTCATTATCAAATTACATAAGTAACTTAGGACACAGCATTGACTTAGAAGAATCCATATCAAAGTATATGCATAGAGTCACTGTTGGGACATAATCAGGCAGGATCACAAAACACAAGTGACATAATTCATTACTTATAACTTTAGGCTCAGAAATATTATCAGGCAATCATCAGTAGCATACAGAGATGAGCACACGCATTTGTTCTACTGATTCCAACAAGATTCATTGTTTTCAGAGCTCCCCTAAGTAGGTTCAAGTCATAAGAACAGTCCACAGGTACTCTAGTGGTTCAACACAGTTCATGCCAAAGCATGTACTCAACCAAGACCTCACATCTTGTCACAATCCAAATTTTTCACCTTCGGACCGTGATGATGCTTAACATTGCACTCGCTAAGCAAGCCAATGTTATAGAATATTTTACCTTTTTTCTTTACATTTTTATAATTAAAAATTTAACAAAAACTAAATCAACGGAAATAAAAAACGGAAGTACATGATTAACTGATTATCCTTATGCTATTAACAAAACCGAATAGTTCCCACCCAGAAACTGGTGTCACAACTCACGAACTTTCTACAGATTACTACAAATACTGGTCTGAAAGGAAAATACATTTGTCTCGAAAGTAAATAAAACAGAGGTATAGAATGTAGGAGGGGACGCCAGGGCCTGCGGACGCCTGCGGGACTACCTTGGGTCTCCTGAATGAAGTATCAGCAACCGACCTCTCGATCAGCCACTACCAGCTCCGAAATATGCACAGAAACTGCAGAGTGCAGTATCAGTACAACCGACCCCATGTACTGGTAAGCGCCGAGCCTAACCTCGACGAAGTAGTGACGAGGATACGGCGGGATATAAACAATATATATCCTGCAACAGTTTATAATAAGGAAAAACGAAGATATATATTGAAATAAGACAACAAGTTGCGTTTAATAAATACAGAACCCAATCGTTCTACCGATACTCAGTTATAACCAATCCTTAAGAGAGTTTCAACACCACAATCATGAATCTCAGCAGAAGAAGAATACATAAACAACAAATGATGCGGCGCGCATCTCGATCCCACCATATAATCAATAATAATATGAACATTCACCCATATTACTCCTTGTTGCCGCGTGCAACCCGATCCCACCAGTCCACCCTTATTACTCCTCAATATATCACCCTTATTCTTCCTGTTGCGGCATGCAACCCGATCCCACCTGTCCACCCTTATTACTCCTTATTGCGACGCGCAATCCGATCCCACCA